ACCCAAGGGGAGGACATCCATCACACAGTAATCTCGTGCGTGGGAAATTAACGTCTCCTACCCCTAACCCTGCAGGAGACGGGGCCTCCATTTATTCATCCCTATCCGAGAAGACTAGAATATCTAAACCATTTCTAGATGTTATAGAAAGGCAGCATATTCTCCTCAAATATTTTAAGACCTTGAGTGTTGGTCCGGCCAGGCTCGAACCCTCGACTTCCCACACATCAGTCCAGCGCTCTATCCATTGAGCTAACCGGGAGGCGGTTGTACTTTCCAGACAAGTGAAGAGGATAAGAGAATAACATTAATTAGGGGATGATTTAGTTGATTCAATATCAAATCTCTGAGCTAACATCACAAGAACTGGATGTTAGATAGTAAGCAGGGCTCAACACTATTACAGTAGCTAACTAACCACAGACCAGTAATTCAGTTTTGGCGAGTGGTTTTCAATTTCCTATGGCCAGTTTGGCTAGTAAACAAACTGAAATTGTTCTAAGATCTAAGCTGTCACTGGCCAGTTGGCTACTGAGTAATTTGAAAAGTTAGTGTCTATGTAGCCCGGCCTGAGTAAGGAGAACTCCTAATAGGATCTTAGGAGGGAACTGGTTCAGTAAGGGTGTGAACCTTGTTATAGAGATTAATGTCAGTACTCACTGGACTCTTGCGTTCTCACTTTCAGTGAGGCTGACCAAGGGCCATGTCCCTTATCATTTTCTGCTCTCACTTGGATGTCATACAAAGTGTAGGGTGTTAGTTTATCAAGTGTTGCAGATCTGCTCCCTGTAACTACTTTTCCTTGATAGTCAGCTTTTCCAGCAATCTGCCACCTAACAACATACCCAGTTATTCCATCCCCTACATCAGTAGGTGCACTCCATGAGATGACAATTTTCTTTGATAAAACAGAATCTGCAGAGGGTGAGGATGGCTGGCCAGGAGAGCCTAAAAAGTAAACAAATAGATGTGATCAAATGAAATAGATATTTGAAATAAATAATTTAATTGTATGTAATGGGGGTCTCAATAGCAGTCAGGTAATCAGGGTAGATTCCCTAGCTTGAAATGTGCTGGCTACCTACTTGAGGCCTTTACATAAAAGTCATTGTACTCCTAACTCTAATTTTCTCTAAAAATTGTTAAAATAGATTGACTTTGAGGAACAGCAAAACTATGCAGATTGAAAAAAACCTTAAAATGCAGTGAAATGCAACTGCAAAAGTCTCCCAGTGGAAAGCCATTTTCCCTGCATGAGAAAAAGATGCTCTCCCTGCAGTCAAAACTATTACCTGTTTGCTAGCTATCAAGGTTAACACAATTTTGCACCATCTTTTATCGACACACAATGTGTAATAACCATGATTTTAAATTCTCACTGCATGCACTTAAAAAGAAGAAATAATGAAAACAAAGCAAAACATACTGTTAATTCAAAGAGATGTAAACTTACCCATCATTCCCCTTTTAATTTAAGGCCATTAATACATGCAGATACTAATGTCCTTGACCAAGAGAGTTTGCAAAATCATCCCTTACCTGTTGTCAGATTGCACCCATAAAGCTCAAATCTGAGGGCACAAGTGTTTGAGCAGTTTGTGGGGTTTAATCTTATGTACTGTGCTACATGAGAAGGTCTGAAAAGGACTGTTTTGATTTTACTATCATTTACATTGGCTTGAAACACCTGAAACAAAAGGTAAATTAACAAACAATTACTTGCTGATAATTGTCAAGTTACTTATTTTCTACAACAAAGATAAGTAGTTAATGAACCTTGCCTAGAACTTTAATAGCTATGTACATGCTTGCCAAATAATAAATGTTACCCTTCCCTCAAACCAACACCATCCCCACCCTCCCCACCCCCTTCCCAACACCAACCCACTACAAATAGAAGAAATAAAATTATCAGGCATGTGTGCAGTTATGAAATGAATTCTAATCATTTTACCTTAACTTTTCCTTGCTCTGTATAGTTGTTCCAGTTGTTTCCATCAGAACTGAAACTCACATAATAGCGGGTAACATAGGAGCCAGAAAAGCCTTGTGTAGCAATGGCAGTGATGTTTCTTGAATACTGTAAATCCACTTGTATCCATGGATTTCTATCCTTTTTATCAGGAACCCATGCTTTGCTGTTGCTTAACCGTGCATGGTGAGGAAGTGAATCAGAATTCTGTGCTGATGAAGCTGTGATATCCTTGTCCGGAATAATACCTCTTGCCATACCAAAGTCAGGTGGGGAACAACCTAATGAAGCATTTATGAAAAACAAGTAATATTTAGTTTTTAAAGTGGGTTATCAAATAATTAGCATATGCACACTATATTCTAGGTGCTCACCCAGATAAATAAACCTAACCTATTCTACCTAGCCCCCCCCCCACCCCCCTCAAAGTAGATCAATACACATAGACATGATATCACGCTAAACCTGAAAAGTGAAACACAAGGCCCAGTTGACTGATTCAAAATTAGTGGTATCTGAGTGATCTAAAGCTAAAAACTCACACACCAAAATCGAATATATCTAAAACTTTTTACACAATTAGGAGGAAGGTAAGAGCTCTTCATCCTTTTTTTTCTTTTTCCTAAATTCTAAACTATCTCACCAGCTAACTCAGAGGAGAAAACATAATAATTTTCTTAATATGTGCATGTTTTTGAACAAGAAAATAAAAAGAAAAGCAATTACTATATTTTAAAGGCTATACAGACACCAGCCATGCTCCCCAAAGAGAAAGATTACTTAATATAACAAAAAAGTTTATCGTACCTCCACTGGAAGCTTGTGTACCTGTAAAAACATTTCAATAAAATAGTTAGGTTCTAAAAAATTCTTACCTTTACTATATGTTTAGCTAGGTGTATAAATAGCTAGCGAGAATCTTATACAAAAACCTTGCTTATAATCACAAAACATTAATTAATGAACATATTTCATTTTGAATGAATTTGATGTTCAAGGGTAAACATCATTGCAGTCTATGATAATATACATGGGGGTGCGTTTCCACAATATCATGATATGCCTTTGGTGACGAAGCACAAGAATGATGTACTACATAAAAATCAGTTCTGCCAGACAATGATTAATGGGTTCTAACAAATTCTACACCTGATTTGCCCTCTAAGAGTGACTGCCTTCTAATTTCTCCCAACAGAATCAATTTCTAGAATCAAATGTAAAGGACATGAGAATAAAGGAAATGATCACCAGTTAAGGGATCAACTCCTGACTTCCAAACAAATTCTCCTTGACAGTACCATGGAAAATTTCATTATGGAGTCAGTAATTTTGACATCATCCAGTAGGAAACATCAAAATACCACTTGAGACTAAGGGCATTATATCCACAGGATAGTAAGACTAAGAGTTCCAACGTCCAAGGTTTAATTCACATCTCCCAGTTTATTTTTGGAAAAAAAATCAGAGAATTGTCAGGGGCTTGAATTTAATACATGACCAGCTACAACCTATACTAAAACAAGAGTGAGGTTATCCCCCTACATTTCCATTATTATACTAATAATTATTTGCCACTGGACTAAGGTGGGGAGGTAGTTAAAATGCTTTACACACTGTTTATTTTTTTTTTCATTATTAGCACTATATATAAGGTACAGATAAATAAAGTTCTGCTAAATTTATACCAGTACATACATACCATCTAAATGCACACAATTATACATGTACCTTAGAAGGGCATGCAAACACCTAAAAGTTTAAATTAAAATTTTTTTTTACCTGAATTTGAAGGAGTGCAAGTAAATTCAAACACAACTACTTAAGCTTGGCCAAAACTTCCTTTTCACAAAGTGATATGTCAAAGTTCACTCCACATCAGACATTAATTTTTATTTGCATATTGCACTTTTATATACAGAGGTAAAGAGGTAAAAATTTTTTTCTCCTGTCTCATTACCCTTTGAGGCCCATTGAGATCTAATTTTAGTCATTCTCCATGCTTACTGTCTGCCATATTCTCAGAATTTTAATAATCCTCTAATTCATATTTCATTTTACTCCCATCACCAGTCTGCTTGATATGGCATTGATAATGCAAAGGGAAGTTCTGTTTTGGTCACTCACAGGAGTTTGAAAGGGTTACTGTAATAACTTCATTTAACACCCAGGGTGCCTATTTACTCTTGGTATAACTAAGGTAGGCACTTATTCAAAACAGGGCACTATAATATTAGGGCTACTGGTGCTTATCACTTTTCTGAGAAACAAGAGCCATGGAATGTGCCCATAGAAAAATTTTAAAAGAATCGAGAAGACTGGGAAACAGCAGTGATGTCCCTGGATCTGTTCAGGCTAGAATAACCAGCAAAGTAATTGTTGCTGCAAAATTTTAAGACAAGATCATGTGTGCCCGGAATTTAACATTTGAGAGACTATGATGAAGACCGCTGTGGTTGGTAATAGGGCTCAGTAGTATAAGCAATTAAATGAGAAGGAACTACTTATTGGAAAAAGGGTGTTTATATTGACAAAAATAAATTTGAGGGGAGCATTTATTAGAGAGAGGCACTTATTGAAATGAGGGCAATAAATTTAACAATTTCAGTAACACTGTTCCTGTTTCCTATTCAGAGAACCCATTCAGTATAAATAACTAGTGACAATTACGTTGGCAGTCACAATAATGACTCTTTTTCTACCTAACAAAATCTACCCTTCTCCAAATTTGATAATCCGTGTTTTTTCGGGGGGACTTTGTTCAGGGCTTTGAGTGCTTTCACCGAGTCAAATTGTCAATCGCTGGAGGCATTAATCTCGGAAAATCCAAACGATATTATTTCTGTTCAAATACTAAGTTCATTACATGGATGATATTTGGAAACCCCAGATTTCCGAGAAAAGAACAATCATGCAATCTTGAATATACATGACTGCGTGCTTAATTTAAACTCATATAAGTTCACGGCAGTGTCTTGTGGGATCCCAATACATCCCACGCAAAAAACATTTTCCGTCTCATTTCACCTTCAATGTTCCCTGGTTTGAAAGTTCTCCTGCGGTTGTGGCCAAAAAGCCATCATTGTCAGACAATTTAAAAAACAAAAGCGGTTTACGTGCACATATGGTCTCATCGGTTTGACAAATGTCATAATTTCTTGGCGATCTGCCCAAGGGCAAGTATTAACTTTCTGTTTAAATGGTGTATATTTCCCTTCTTCATGCTCCATCAAAGTCTCATCAAAAGAGAAAGTCTAAAGCAAAACATTAAAGCTCGTGGCAAATGTATAAGGTTACATCTATGAACAGAAGAAACTGCACGAGACAAATCCAAATATTTTGGCTGGTTCGGTGGTTGACAAACACTAGTACATCTTGGATCTATTTATTTTTCCGAAATTGTTCTTGATCACACGAAATAGCTGAACATGTGTCCAACATGCAACTTCTGGAATAAACATTTTAGTCAAGAGCGATCTTATCGAAGAATATAGCAACAAATATCGCACCAATCACATTTGCAATATTTAAGATTTTCGAACAATACCGAATATAAAAGTACACATTTGACATATTCACTTAACATTTTTATCCACGCATTTTGGCCACTCTCTAAAGTTTAGACACACATATGAGTTATAAGACCTAAGGTGTAAGAAACATTCGAAAATGGCAGCAGCCTTGCGGTAAAATAACATAAAAACCGAAATGGAAAAAGCAACGGTGCGATCGATGTTATTCAAAGTTTGACGATTTGCGACTTGCTCGGGAGCGAGAAAAGCGCTATAACAAACATATCGTTTATAGTTCCATACAAAACAAATCATTTTACCTGCATCCTTGTGAACTTCGAAGACGATCAGACATAAGACAATTAGAAATTGGCGAATCTGGCGAATAATAAAGGCCATGTCGGCTCAGATTTTCGCTTTGACTGCCGGAATACAGTCATTCTAAAGTTACTCCTAAAGGAAACGGGAAGTGATTATTTGGACACGTGACCAAAGTGAACATTCTTCTAGCGACCAATCGCGTCACAGACGGGCGCGTCCAAACGGAAGTGTGCGTCACTGTTTCGATCATCAAGTTATTTCTGTATCAAGTGACTTTTAATACTGTTTGTGAGCAAGGCTTTCGTTTGGTCGATAAATTATGGGACAACAACAGCTCCGAACAAGAAAATGTAGCCTCAAGTTCTCTCTGCATAATACTTGATTTTGCAATTTTTAACTTAATTTATATTCTCACCAAAATAAAAAGATAAAAATGAGCCGTTCTTGACTGACTCTCAGCCTGGGTATGTTTTTCGAATGTAATTCAAATTTTGGTCCATCTTAGCCTGAACGTTCTTAGAAAAATGTTCTTAAAAAGCAAAAAAGGAGTGTAACTCCACTAATTGTGACTTGCTTGCTTTTTTGATCTATTCCTCTGGACCTTAATTACATGCTACGTTTTTGTTTGTTTGCATGTTTTTGCTTGTTTTTGTTTTTGTTTTTGCTTTTGTTCTTGTTCTTGTTTTTGTTCAATTTTTCGTTAACAGAATGACCGTTAAACAACTTGGCATATTTATGAAAATGTGTTTTATCATAGCTGTTGCTTGCATAGCATTAAAGCTGTAATCGTGACAAGGATGGCGTTACTTGATTACAATTACCTGGCGTCGAAGCGGGGCTTTGAAAAACGGAGCGAGTTCTACTTGGAGTTCTACTTGTCGTGGGCGATAGCACAATGGTAAAATTCGTTGAAACCAAACTTTTTGATGACGTATTTTGCCCTACAAGAAAACATACAACAAGAAATGTCATGTGCCTGTCCATTTTCATATTAATTCAAGGCCCCCCTCCCCTAGTCCCCTCCATCCCCCCCTCTCGCCCCCTACCCACGCCAATCACCCTTGGCGAGAAAGATAATTAAAATTAATCTCGGCGAAGGTCACAAGCATCGGAAATTGGACCTAGCAGGTAAACAATTTGTCAAGTAAAGGCACCGAGAACATTGAAAAGCTCTCAGTGAAATATTGTAATAATTGACTCACGTACTATTTTCATTTAGTAAGGGAAAAAAATACAGCGACACGGTGGTTGAAAATAAGCCTATTTAGACTGAGGCGGCACTCGATCGATTGTTGAGCCCAGATTAAAAAAAAAATTAATTCAAACGCAATTAAACCTCGAATGAGGGACGGAACCCCTGAAAATCAGCTCTAGGTCGTGACAGGTTTTATATCATTTAATCAGTTAGATTAGCTGGGCCGAATATTGAATTTTATTCTGTGAATAAAGCTGAAGGAATGTTTCACTGTGGATGAATAATGTTATCAATCAATCAACCAGTAAGATCAAAACACAGTTGAATATCAGCTTCCGGAAATCCTCAGCAGCAAGGCTAGAACGAAAAAAATTTTTCATAGAAATCGCCAAAAAAGGGCACAGAATACTCTGATACATTATCATGGTCCAAAATTTTTAAACAAGTGATACACTCGTCGAACGCCAATGGGGGTATGGAGGGAGAACTTGTCGTGAAAAAAATATCGTACACATTCGATCTAGAAGTACGGTTATTTATTGCCTGTAACTTTCCTATTAAAGAACTTCAATTACATGAAGATTTCTGCTCTGAAATGTTGATCAATGCTATTTCCTCGTTTGTGATAAGCCATTGATATCAAAGCATAATACATATAATACCATGATATCTGTTCATGATATTATCGATATTAATTGAGTGGCATGACCAAGCATATTACTTTGATCTACATTTACCTAGCTGTTTGTGATCTTCACAAAATTGTCAGAATTATTAACCGGACGAGAAGCTGCTTTACTAAAGGAAACTTCAACACTGTGCCGGATCATTATTGCACGCACGGTTGGTCTATCATATAATGCCATAGGTAAACTGTTAATTGAGAAATATTCGTGTCAACTGCAGACTTTATTCGTAGGAATTCATCCATGGGGTCATGTAAAGCAATTTCTCCTCAGGCAAGGTATGTCTAAAGGCTGATAGTTTCGAAAGAAACTGTTTGGGGCTGCGTCGGTGGGAGTAACGAAATAATTTGGATATATCAACAAAGTTGAAATGGTAAATTGGCGACCGTAATGATTACAAAAGCTGACGTTTCGAGCGTTAGCCCTTCGTCGGAGCGAATAGAGGAATTGTGGGTTGTGTGTGCTTTTAAAGGCAGAAAATGGAGCTACGTTATTGGTGGGAGCATGGCAACGAGAAAAACATGAATAAATTAGTGGAATGAAAAGCGTTCGTTGATCCCTGTGGGATTTAGANAAGTTAAGTCCAAGAGTCCAGACCACAAATACACATAGATAAATGAAAAAGTCCATTCTCAGAAAAAAATGTATCTGAGAATCAGAAGGCACAGAGTGTGAAATACTTTGAAACCTAGCGACGGCTTTAGGCTATATACATCGGTCTTCCTGTCTAAATTAGAGGCGTGGTAATAGATTAAGTTCAAGATCCTGTTTACTGAAGGCGTCATTCTCCAAAAATAGAGCGATTTAGCACGCACGAAGAATGGTGGAGCGTTTAGATGAAACGCTACGGGAAACTGACATAAAATTTTATTAAGAAGAGAACAATTAAGATATCAAGAAATACATTTAGAGAGACCAAGGGAATAATGAGTATAAATGATAAATCAATCCGAGGAAATGGGTTTAGGTCGACTTAGTGATGTCCGGACAGGGTGGGTACCCTCTTTGATTACGTAGTTTCGAGTCACATATTCCTGTATCAAGTTTGTTTCCAGTTTCAATTTCGAGTCTTCTGACGAAGGCCTTTCGACAGTCAACTGATTAATTTGAAAACTATCCCCGTGTTTCGGGCTAGATGTCTAAAGTGAGGGAATGCGAGGAGGGCGATGGGCATGGACTTGGCGCGACGGATACGTAACTTCGGATAGCAATAAAAGCTTTCGTCCAAAGCTTTTCCTCTTATAAAACTGAAACGCCGGACACGTGTTGACAGTGTCATATGAACATAATTGTAAGTGTTGATCGAGAAAATAGAACAGGAGTGCAGCGGGAGTTAAGGATTCTCTGGGGCTCCCTTCATGTCAATCAGCGAACCCGGCTTATCCGGTTTATGAGATCTCGCTTCGCTTCTCTCTCCTCCCTAGTGATCAGCGAAGAGGAGCGAACCTTGTCATCAAGTCTCAGTTTTTTTTAACTATTTCGGTAGCTGCGATGGCAAACTTTGCTATCATTTTGAACACCGGCACGCGGTTGACCGGTACAAAATTGAAAGGTCGCCTCTCATTCAGCTCGGTAACTGAGCTGGAATAATTTCTCGTAGGTCATGTCACTGTAAAGCCAGCTCTGTAGCTGAAATGAAAGTTTCCAAATGCATAAATTTCCCCAATAACTAAGTCGGCTCGCGAGCCGAACTCATTTAAAAATACCCTCTAGATCCCTTTGCATCCGTATGGCGGGAAATTGAACGTGTTGCGTGACACACATAATGTGGACCTCAGCCAGAAATTAGTCGGACTACCGAAACGACAGTTATATCAGTGACAATGAATTAAAATTATTGATTCGATTTCCCCTAAAGCCTGATCTTTTGGGTTTTTTCAGTCCTTATATTCATAAGTCATTCAACAAAAGTTGCCAATAAAACGGCAATGAAACATCCGGGGATGTACAATTTAGCTTGCATGGGGCAGGAGCCCTAGTAGTTCCTAGTGCGGGGTTCATACAAAAGATTACAAATTATTGTTTTTCCATCAATTGACCATTTATTTAATACCATTTCTTTTAATGTCATCCCTTTTAATAAGATATTGAATAAATGTTTAATACTCCAGTAAAAATACTATTGACTCAGTCACCATGGCCAAGGTAAGCCAGCCATTCATAAGAAACCTATCTATTTTCCTCTCGTTTGCGAGACATTAGTGGATCATAGCCAGCTCGTGTCAACGCATCTTTGGAAAAAATCATCTATTGCAAATTCAACTCTTATCATTCCGTACAAAGCTGCAAACTGCAAAGCATCCTTACTCCTGAAAGTTACGTAAAAGACAGAAAGTTTTCTCTTATAACATCATAACCAGGAACCATCAGGGGAATCTTTGTATCGAACATGAATAATTCCACAAGTAGCCTACGAGTTAGATAAACATGGTCAGAAATGATTTAAATTATCTTGGTCATTCATCTATTTATCTGTACTTATTTGACGATTTTTTAATAGCTTTACCGTGCACAAGCGTTATCTTAAAGTTTATCTTAACATGGATCCTATTATCACTAAAGTTGCATCACATTCCAAACACGTATTACCATATAATATATTTTCTGTTCGGCATCTGTGCGGGTATAAAATTCAATATTTCAACTTCCCTTATTCTCGAAACCAAAGTATTACATACCGCATTTTCATTATTCATTTATCAAAGAACGCAGTCATTTGATTTTAACAATTGTCATTTGAAGAAAAAGCTCTATGCAAAACATACTCTAGGGGTTCAGTTCTACCGCAGGAAAAGCTTACAGTCTGTGGTTGGGTCGTGGGAAAAGGTTTTCTGACGTTCTACCTGACCCGCTCAAATTTAGGGAATGGTTTGTCTCAAAACATGCAACCACTTTCCCATCCATGTTTGATGCTCGTTCCTCAGAGAGGTTATAGAAAGCCTGGCGAGAGGCCAAGTTGAACAGTAGATTACATCCCAGCAATTGCTGGTTTCAGTCTTCACGCCCAAGGTTCAACCGAAGAGGCGATCGTCTGACTAAAGCTGATTGTATGGATTCAATTGCTAGAAAAGTGATCAGCACTAACCAAGGAACATTATTTCTCTATATAAGCCATAAATTACAAATGGGTAACCCCATGATCTGTGAGGTATGGAGAAGCTTGTTTGTTTTACATGATCACCAGTATCAGTGAGCATCATTACTCTGGCATCAGTACACATCTCAGCATGATTAATGGATTGAACAAAGGAAACCCATCCATCTACAAAATGCTTATTATTCGTGATATCAAGCCTTCGTTGAACACTCAGACTGTTTCGGTTCGTGTCAACCTTTTTAGCCAACACTTAGTTGCTATCTCACG